AGCCCAGAGCCTGATGCGGGGCTCGAACTCACGGACCGCGAGATCGTGACCTGGCTGAAGTCGGAGGCTTAACCGACTGCGCCACCCAGGCGCCCCCGTTTGTCTTTTTTTAAAGAGAGAAAAACCTTTAGAGGAGCTTTTGTCACAATTGGGGTGGTGGATTCTTCCTGTTAAAGGAGAGTTTGACTCAAGAAGTGAACTCCCAGTCTCTTCTGACCTCTTCGGTTGCCAGCTGGCTGGCGAGGCATATCAGGGTGCACGTGGGAGAGAGAGCAAGGGTTTGGGGGAACGTGGGTGAGGGCGTGTACATCTGTGCATGCATGCACACGTACAGAGGATGGACGGCCACCTTCCTTTACGGTATGTTTGTAGTCATCATAAGGCAGAAATGAGGGCGGAAGTGAGAGAGTGGACCTTGATGCCTGTTTGTATGTCTTGTGTCTATAGTTTCCACACATGTCCTGGTAGCTTGCGCGCTCAGCCTTTATGGTGGTACTTACAGCTGGTACAGTTAAGTGCTCATGTCCTTGTCCTGACCTTTTCTTTTCTGTACAGGCTTCATTTTTTTTTCCCCCTTGAAAATGGAGACTAGAGACTGGTGGTAAACGGGACTTGAAATTTTACTGGGGGATTTTGCTGCCTATGAAATCACTGGTGAATCCTATACTTTAGCTGCCATCCCCTTTGCACTAGGATGTTTTTCTTAGTCAAAGCATCTACCAAAAAGTATGCTGTTTGAGAACCCAAGTTGGAGGAATCCATGAGAAGTGCGTCTGTTCCCAGGACTGTTGGGTTTTGCCCTTTCCCCCTCAACTCACTTCACACTTTTTAAAATAAACAGTAGATTTGATTCCATAGAAACTGCATCTATATGTGTGTAAGGGATAGCTTCTCTATTTTAGGCAGTAAACTTTTTTTTTTTTTTTTTTTTTTTTTTTTTTGTCATTTGGAAATAAATTAGTTTCATTCACTGTCACTGTTGTCAGCATGCATAAAAGTGAATCCTGCTCAGGCTCTTGAAACTGCCTCCGTTTTAATTGAAATAATGTGCCTTTGTAATTTTTTTTAAAGGTAGTGTCTTGCCCGGCAGATGTAGCTGAAAAAGCTGACAGAATTATTACAATGTTGCCCACCAGTATCAATGCAATAGAAGCTTATTCAGGAGCAAATGGAATTCTCAAGTATGTATTTCTCAACTGTGGAAATTTTCTTGTTATCGTAGTTCATGAATTTCATATTTGTTAACACTTTAGGAAATTACAATGATGTTCGTGAAGACTTTCTATACTGTTTTCTTGTTTCTGAAAAGTGAATGGTGTGGTTTCTCTCTCATTGTAAAGGGTTTCTTTTTTCACTGAAAGCAAGAATGTGACTTTTGGGAATAATTTTTTTTGCTTCTGTTTCTTTCCTTAACTCTTGGATTAAACTTATGCTTTCATTGCTAACATGTTTAAGAGACTTTTAAAGCTTGCATTTTAAACTGTACAAATGTTACAAGCATAATTTTCTTATGGTTTATAGAAATTCAGGAAAAGGTTTCTATGAAAAATAAAACCAAACATTGGAAAGAACACTATTATTTAACATTTTATTATATTATAAAAAGTTATTGTATGTCCTCTGGGTTAGTACATCTGTAGTAAGAACTTTGAGAAGTTGGAATTAAAGGTTAGCAGTAGCTCTTTAAATAAAATATAATTTGGGTCAGAGTTTTCTAGCCAGTGCTTAGCTTCTCTGGCTTTGAGAACCTTTTGGTTAATTTCTGCCTATTGCCAAATCCTTGTGGTTGTGTTAGAATGACAGTGGTTGAATTTCCTATTTAATTTGCTGGTCTCTATGGTTCCTGTTTCTAACTTGTTTTGATGTTGAATTTCAGCAAGGAGAGAACAAACTGGTAGGTCCTGTAGACATACATAGGGCTAAAAGAAAGTGTTTAATTTCATGAAACTGTAATATGTGAAATTTGAGGCTTTTGGAAATTGAATTGTAACTTGCAAGCAAAAGACACTTGGCTATTAGACAGAAAACTGATAAGATAAATGTTTAGATTTCAGGGAAGGTTGAAAGACGCTCATTTTGGACAGAGCCTTGAGGCCCATGGTGTGTGTGGTCCTGAGGTGACTTAGTGGTCTCATTATCTAGTCTGTTCCAGTTATGGCCCTGCTTAATTGCCTGCTTATTTGCCTCTTCAGGAAAAGTTACTAAACTTTTGTGTGCTGACCAACTGTTTATTAATATTCTTTGCTAAGGAATATGGTGGCCAACTAGCAGAGCAGTTTTGTCTAGGGAGTGCTTTCATATATTGCGGCTTTACATTGAACTATAATTTGCTTTTTATGGGTGGTTCTTTATTTTCTTCTGGGTCAGGGTCATTTCCCCACACTCAGTGCATATGTAATTTTTGAGACACTTTCCCATTTGCTTCAAGATTTAAGACCCTTGGGGCACCTGGGTGGCTCAGTCAGTTGAGCATCTGACTCTTGATTTCAGCTCAAGTCATGATCTCAGGGTCCTGGAATCAAGCCTTGCATCAGGCTCTGCGCTGAGTGTGAAACCTACTTGGGGCTCTCACTCTCTCTTCCTCTGTCTCTCTGCCCTGCTTGCATTCTCTCTCTCTCTCTCTCTCTCTCTCTCTCTCTCTCTCTCTCTCTAATTAAAGAAAATATATTTCAGATCTAAGGAATGTTAATATCACATAATTAAAATTAATTATTGGTAAACATAATTCTTATGTTTATGTCAAATTAAAGAAAATATATTTCAGATCTAAGGAATGTTAATATCACATCATTAAAATTAATTATTGGTAAACATAATTCTTATGTTTTAGGTTATATCAAGTGAAACTCCACATACTTATAGTGACCTGTAATAGAACATGCTATTTCTTTTCTGTGGAATATACCATTGCATTTGGACCAGATCAATTAATATGTTTAAAATGGTTGTTCATCACATTTTGTATGCTATTTTTTCTATAAAAAGATTTTTCTTTCTTTTAATAGTTTTTTAGCAATGATATTCTATTTTCTTCTTCAGTATTTATATTTATTCATTTCTAATTTTCTAATCATAATTATGATTACGTGTCATCTGGATTAATTGGTCTGTAGTAAGGACTTTGGGAAGTTTGAATTCAAGGTAAGCCATAGCTCTTTAAACAAATTACAATTAAAAAAAATTTACAATGTAGGTCAGTTTCCTAGCCAGTGAAGATAGACATAGATTATAAGGGAACCGTGTAGATAGATATAATCTGTACTTACAGTACAAACAAAATTGTCTTATTATAAGAATGCCATTTAGTATTGATGTAAAATATGATAGAGGAAAAGACTGCTTCCCCGCTTTGCCAATGTATATATATAAATTTACCATAAAGAGCAAAAAAACTGTATTTGTGAGATTTCTAGGTTCATTCCTATATTTTCCTTTCTGCCTCTTTGATGTTTTATTTTATCTTTAAAAAGCTGTAATTATTAACGAATATGCCACCCTCGAGCAAATGGCTGAATTTCAATGCTGTGTTTAGTCTACCTAGTGGAAAGGACATGGATATGTGAAATTGGCAACATGGCTTATTAAAGACAAATAAAATACTTTTTAAAGAGCCCAGCTATTTTACAAACAAAAATTTAAATCTTACCAAATAGACCTTTTAAAGTTAACAGGTGTTTTAAATTGCTTACCTATATTATTATGGTATTGTGTATTTCACCTAAAACCAGAATTTATAACACGTAGTTTATTAGATTATTTAGGTTTGTTTGAAAGAGTTTGGGTTTACTTTGAACTTTAATTGATCTGAAAATGAATTTGAGATTTTTAACCAGTTCTAATAATGTTTTTAATATTAAACCAAAGACCTCCTTGATATCTGGCAACTTTTAGTAGATTCTAATTCTATAGGTAGTTGCATGAAATGTTTATGCAGAATTGCAAGCTATATTTTTAAAACTATAAACCTATAATTAAACTATTACTTTTATCTGTTTACTTAGAAAAGTGAAGAAGGGCTCACTCTTAATAGACTCCAGTACTATTGATCCTGCAGTTTCAAAAGAATTGGCCAAAGAAGTTGAGAAAATGGGAGCAGTTTTCATGGATGCCCCTGTTTCTGGTGGTAAGTGGCAGCTAAAATCTATGCACACCTATTTCTGTTGGTCAGAAGAAGCAATTACGATTTTCTGGTACCCAAGACCTATCCACATATTTTGAGACCTGTTATAGGAGTCTCCATTTCCTCACTGAAAACAAAAACAAAACAAAATCACTTCTGTTATTCCGTATGCTCAAAATACATTGCTTGTTCTAAGCTCAGACAAAAGGATGTCACAACCTTGAAGAGTTGTGAATTTTTGGTCCAAACTGCTATGCGTTGGGCTAGAGCTGTTCCTAGAAAATGTAACTTTTCAGAACAGATTCAAGAAGTAACTAGCTTGAATCTTCTTTTAACTGTTAAAGAAGTTGAGGAAATGGTAAAAAAGAAAAAATCATTTTGCAAGGGGAACTTTAGGCCCAGATGATTTTTTACAGGTGAATGTTACCAGAATTTCAAGGGGCAGATCATCTCCGTTTTTCTATGAACTTTTCCAGACAATAGAAAAAGAGGAAACACTGCTCAACTCATTCTGGAGACCCGTGTAACTCTGATACTTCAACCAGAAAGAGAAAGAAATGAGAGAGAAAAATTTTAGGTCTATATCAGTCATGAATACAGAAGTAAAAATTTTTAAAAAGTATATTAGCAAACTAAATCCAACCATGCGTAAAAGAGGTTAAACACTACAACCAGGTTTGTTTTATCTCATATGTACACAAATGACTTAATGTTAGAAAATCTATAAATATATTTCACTACATTAACATACTTAAAAATCATATGATCATCTCAAAGGACAAGGATTCTCAGTAGTAAGATTCTAAAAGCATATTATTATATCAAATATCAAGAGTGGGGATCTGGGTATTTTGGAATGGTAGGATTATAGGTATTATGATTTTTCATAATTTCCAAATTTTCCAAAATTACTGTGTAATCAGATACCATATACATACATGCATGCACACACACATACATATGTGTGCATAAATATACACGTATATATGTAATTAGTTGAAGACTTGTTTCTAGCTGGAGACTTTCTAGAAAGGCTGGACTGAAGAAACCAGTCATTTGCTCAAGACCAAGACTAGATTTTTTTTTTTATTATTTTCTGTAAAATTCTAACGTAATCTGAGGAGGAAAATAAAGATTGCTAAATGGAAAGTTGTCCTTTATAAAATCATCATCTCCTTACAGTGTTAAAAAATAGCTAACAGCTAGTGTGGTACGTTGTTACAGTAATGACCTTTAATGACTCACATCTCTGAATCCACTCTGTGTATCCATTCACTCATTGACTCTGAGTTGAGCTATCTGACTTGCTTTGGCCAGTGGTATGTTAGCAAATGTTACACAAGGATAGACTTGAAAAGCACTTGGCCCTGTCTTGCTCATGGGGACTTTTCTGCTGTCACATAGAGAAGCCTGGATTAGCCTCCTAGAGACAGGCACTAACCACCAAGCGTACGAGTGACGCCATCTTGACCATCCAGCCAGAGTCACCTTCCCAGATGACTGAGCTCAGGCAAATGAACTGCCCAGCTACAGATGTCCAAATTGCTCATCTACAGAATTGTGAGCAAATAAACCCACTAAGTTTGGAGTGTTACGTAGCAGTAAATAACTGATGGAGCCAATACAGTTGATATTTCCATTCTTATGTAGAAGTGTTTGTTGCCTAATGGATCGATCAGTGTGCCGCCTGTGCTTACATAGTCTTAAGTGTCATAAACCCTTTCTGAAGGAGAATGATAGTACCCCAGTTAGCATAAAGGCCAACTTTAATGCTAAAGCTAAGACGCTAAAATGAAGTTTATTATGAAGCCAGTCCAGGAAAGAGTTTTGTTTGCTGCAAACTGGTCCGACTTGTATCTCTGTATTCCTGATTACAAAGGAGAATGTTTGCCTAAATGCTACTGAAGTAGCCACCCTGGTGAGCTGATATGAGATACCTATGTTTCGTAAGATCTGGAAAAGTAAGTTGGTAAAACTTCAGTAAATCTTACGGTGTTTTCATAGACTTGCTGGAGTTCAATATTAAATAGTATGTATAGCTTTTAAGTGTCTTTTGTGCTCTTAGAATTTTTATTAGTAGAAGGGACTTCAGTAATAACTTAATTTGACTTTGTTATTTTACAGATGGGAAATTGAGATCGCAATGAGGTTAAGTGATTTGCCCAGAGTTCTCTAGCTTGATAGCCAATCTAGACTAGAATCTTCTCTCCCAACTCAATCTGAGGATCTTCCCACACTCTGTTAGACCTTTTCTCCCTTTAGTCCCACCCTGTGGTGGCCTTCCTCTTTTTCAAAGCAGTGGCCTACTGTTAACACCATTTCTAACAATTTTACCTAGTGGCTGGTCCTCTCTCTTCTGTCTTGCTAACTAGCACTGCCGTGTAGTAAAACCTTTGGTGGGGAGGTGAAGGGAGAATTGCCTTCTTTTCTGACTCACAGAGATTGGCTTCTAACCTGGAAGAGGCCTAACAATTCTGTTCCAGTCGTTTGAGAAGCAGTGGTTGAGAGGACATTATTCTCAAATCTGGGGACCTCTGCAGAGATCAGAATAGTCCTATTGTATTCACCCCATCCCGAAATGTTTATTAACTGGCTTCTCAGGAGTCTTTTGTTCTGCTGATGAGTTGGGATAGAACCAGAGTTTTTTGGGTCTTTCATGTCTTTCATGTGGATCCAGTGTTTTGTTTAATCAAATAAATGTCCAGAAAAAGAGAAAGTCGAGTAATATTTTGACACATCCCTAACATGTTTGAATGTGACTAGGATAGGATCTGTTCTGAGGTTTAAGGAGATGGAGTTGACAGGATTATAACCGAAGGCAGTGAAGCTATTTTCCATGCCCTTTTTCTGTGTCCCCATAGTATAGTATCTTTGCCGCTGCGAGGACCATGGTGTGATTCTTGTTTGTGCCTGTTTCTTCCACTGCTAGACTCTGAAGAGGGCAGATGTCTTTCTCCACTTTCTATCTCCAGTGTATATCTCCTGGCGAGCATGTAATAAAGTATGATGGATTGCATTAAAGATCTTCTGGTTTCTAGTTTTTTAATTTCAAGATTAATGTCAAATATTTTGAGCTTTCCTCCAGTTGTTTCCTCATTCCCAGGCTGTACTCCAGCTTATTTATCTCCAGATCATTGACCTCTCTCTGAAGTTCAAGTATCTGCCTTGCATTGTAACATCAGTAAGATATTAAGTAATTACTGTGTTCAAAATGTTATATTGTAATATTAGATGCCATTGGGAAGTGTGATTATGATCACAGGGCTGGGGGTAGGATAAAAGAAGTAGAATAGTAATTCAGAACAACTTAAAGAGGAAGTTCTTGCATTAGAAGTTTAGGATTTAGGAAAATATACTAATAAAAATGATGTATAAATAGTTACACAGTGCAAAATAATGTAGCACAGCAGTCTTCTCAGTACTTAGCAACCAGAAAGGGAACTCTTCACTAACAGTTTGATCATAGCAACATGTTGGGCATTGTAAAGAAATACTGTCTTTGTCCTTTCTCGGGTGGCTATTAATACTTTGACTTTTACCTGTATGGATATATAGAGAAAGAATAATACCAGATTCGATTTAGACAGTTGATTCTGGGGCAACAGAAGAAGTTTTAGTTCTGGAAATGGAAAGTTTATGTTAAAGGTTAACTACAAACCTCATAGGTGATTGATTCCCAGTTACATCCACGGGAACGAACTAGTGGAATTTGGAATTAGATTTTACAGTTCGTTAGTGACTATTCTTTAAGCAAAGAAAAAAGGAAATCTGTTAGTTCATACAATTCTCTTATCACCTTTAGTTTCAGTTTTTGTTATACTGTTAACAAATTCAAAGTTCACTTGATATTAGGCTCAGTTGGTTAAGCGTCTAACTTCAGCTCAGGTCATGATCTCATGGTTCACAAGTTCGAGCCCCACATCGGGCTCTGTGCTGTCGGCTTGGAGCCTGGAGCCTTCTTCAGATTCTGTATCTCCCTCTCTCTCTGCCCCTCCCTTGCTCGTACTGTGTCTCTCTCTCTCCCTCAAAATAAATAAAAATTAAAAAAAAAAAAGTTCACTTGATATTAGGGGTAGCCTAGAACTTTTAGGGAAAGAAAGGAACTCTAAAAATGAAGGTTTAAAAAAACTGAAGGTCTTGTGTTTTTTTTCAGTGAAATGTACTTAAAATTATTATACAATTCCTGCAAGATTATATACTGTTTTCTGATTATACACTCTTTTTATTATGCTGACAGTACCTTGATTGCAAGGGACATGCTTCACTCTTCATTTCATGCAACAAACATTTATTGAGTACTTTTATGTGGTGGGTATGGTCTAGGTGCTGGAGTTAGTGCTTTGAAAACATGAAAAGTCTTTTGTCACATGGAGCTTATGAGTTAGTAGGACTAGAGAGAGTAAACGAACAAAAATAATTTTAATGGTAAGTCCTATGAAGAAAAAAAAAGGCAGAGTAAACAGTTAATGACACAGACTTAAGGGGAAGGTCTTTTTACATAGAGTGGACAGGATGCCTTCTCTGGGGAAGTGGCAGTTAGACAGAGACGTGAAGGCACAAGTCTGGGGGAAGGGTATTTCAGCGGAGGAAGCTGCTCGAAGGGCTCTGAGGTATGAACAAGCTTGGTAGGTTTGTGGAACATTTATCTTTGTATCACCAGGACTTGGCAGGTAATTGTATTCAGCGTTCATTGAACTGACTCACCTATAAATTGACTCCCCGTATGTCTAACGCCATGCCTTCGTTTATCTGTGGTTATCAAAGTAAAGCTAACTAGGCTGTTAATGTAAGTTAGCCCATGACACTGGCCTCAGATATGATGCCTTAATCTATTTCTCTATCTTGTGTAAATGACATCTGTATGAAAGTTGTAATCCTTTAATAGTCCAATGTTGTTTTGTCACACCATTTTGGATACATGCTTTTTTTGTTTGTTTTTGGAGAGGGTCTGCTACTGTAAGGTTAGTTCCAATTTGATCAGCTCTCGTGTATAATGAATGCTA